TCAGTCTTTGTCTTGTCTAATCTGGTGTGTGAGTTTACTTAAGTGTGTTACATTGAAGAATTGCTGGGGCTTGTTTTGCAGTCGTTTGTTCATTGATGTGTAAAAAATGGTATCTTGCTAAACCTTTCACTCTTTTAACCCAGCTCTTCTCTCATACCTGTTTCACTTGATAGGTAGCGTTTAAAATGTACTTGGGTATCACACCAAGCATCACAAACTGGAGTCCAGCAGGCGATGAATTCTCCCTTATCCTGGAAAACAATCCACTGGTGGATTTTGTGGAATTACCAGACAACCATTCCTCTCTTATTTACTCTAACCTCTTATGTGGAGTGCTACGGGGAGCCCTGGAAATGGTGAGAAGAAGGGGAGGCCAGTTGAACCAATGGCCCTGGGTGGCTGCTTTTAGTGGAACTACAAGACTCTGTGTTTTCTGCATCCTGTGAAAAGTTCAAAATAAATTGTGGCCATTATGGTAAAGTATCGGCAATGTGTTAAAGTAATGGGTAGAATTCATTTGGTAATATTAGATTTCTGTTAGGACTGTGAGTCTGAGAACATCAATTGAAAAAAAATTAAATATTTTCCAACTTTTCCATTAAAAAAAAATCTCTAAAATTTCCTCCATATCTTCATGTGTACTTATGATAATAAGGTTAGTTTGCAGGCTGTTACACTGTAGTATTGTGAAGACCAAAGTACTGTTCTAATTTATCAGGACTGAATCAGCTGTTTGCATTGCATTTATAGGCTATCTCTTTTAAAGATTCTAAATAGCTCACAATCAGACCATACAGTATCAATGAGGATGACTTTGGAACCTTTCGTCATATATCCTAAGAACAATTTGTGACAATGAAGTCCATCAAGGGGGTTCCAAAACCCCCAATACAAAGGGAGAAAAAAGCCCACATTGCTTGCAAGACAGGAAGGTGGATAAAGGCAGTGCAGCGAAGGCTGTAACATGGGAGAAGGGTGACTCTTCATAAATAATGGGATGTATCTTGGCATATACCTGTCCTTTTCAAAGGAGTTTGGGGACTTCAAACCCGCACTTTAGGGAGCTGTTGTAGCAAAATATCTCAAAAGTGTGGACTTTCTTCTCTTTCATCATAGGTACAGATGGCTGTGGATGTCAGATTTCTTCTGGACACCTTGAAAGGGGATGGAGTCACAGAAATAAGGATGAAGTTTATCAGGCGGATCGAAGACAACCTCCCAGTTGGAGAGGAGTGAGTCTTGAGCAGCCTTCACACTGGACTGGAAGAGATGAAGTCACTGAGCTGGAGCTTCATTCACATATAGTACCCTATGTACTTTGAGACACTGACTGTTTAAGACGTCAATTCATTTGAAATAGTCTGTTTTATTTCCACAGATTTCTATCAAAAGCTTTTGTAGGATGCAGAACTCTTTTCACATTCATCAGAAACACAAGGCACCCTTTCCTTGTTACCATGCTTAGCTCCATGCAAAAATACAGGATATTAAAACTCTAATTTTGAACATCGGAATAATTCCAGATGCCACTTTTGTTCTACAGTAAGTGAAGAATTCCAGCATTATGTCCTCTGTTTATGTTGGTCAGTTTTCCTTCATGGGGAAGCCATTCCTGATAGCACAGAACGTGTTCTATGATTTGAAAGAATTGAGAGCTCAACAAAACAATTAAAAATTCATGTTGAAACAAGAGCTGGATCCATTTTGACAGTCCTGAAGGAAGTGTGTCATTGAAACTCAACAGAATCCCGGTTGGTTGGGCATTCCCACTTTCATCTTCGTCTTCCTAGTTGGTTGGCCAAAATAGCTTTAATGAACCAATGATGTAGGGGCTCAAGTTTCAAATGTTTATGTAATGTTAGAAAAATTATATTCATTCTGAGGGCCTCTTCTTTACCAGACATTTGATTTCGGTAACTAATTGAAGAGTTGTTCACACTAGCTGTTTTCTAAAAGTTTTAGGCAAGTGCGTTTCAAAAATGTTGCTGTCGGGCATCCGTGCTGAGAGGATAGAGATGGTAGTAGCATGTTTCATGTGCATTCAAGTTTTTCTTAAGAAAAAGGGCTCAAGATTGCAGACCGAAGGGTATAAACAGCCTTGCATGGTAGGTTGATCAGTGTATCAAATGCTGGATGATTGAAAGGAATTTGAATATCTTAGGAGAGCTTAACAGTGAATATTCACTGAGTTTGTCATTGTGTGTATTTTATGAGGTTCTAAGCTTCCTATTGGGCAAAACAGCCATTGTTAGGTTTTGTGAACAAATCTGTACTAAATTGCGGAAATCCCTTGAATTGAGGATCCCATGGAGAATATGCATTAAACATGGAAATGCCTGGCACACTTGAAGAGGCACAAGAGGCTTCCAGTGATCTCTGTCTTCTTAAAGCATAGTGGAATCCATTATCCCATGCTGATGTTGGTGAAAAGATTGCAGTACTTCATTCGTTAGAGAAATTAATTGGTGGTTGGGAGGCTTAATGTTTTATTTATGTGGGCATCAAATGCATTGTATTTTAAAAGTTGGCAAAGGGAGCCATAATTATTCAATGATTTGGTCTTGTAAATAATGCTCTGGATAATATGTGCAGCAGGAGAATGAAATGGCTTACCTAATTGCAAGAAGATGAAAACCAAACAGTTGATTTCTCAAGACAGCGGGGCCATTTTTAAGGGTATCTTGGTCATATTTTCCCAGCGCTCTTCTATAATTTTTCTCAGTGCAGAAGTATAGAGGCAATATTTTTTTGCATCATGAAAAATAAAAATTTGAGCATTCCTGTTTCGGACTAATTCATTCTGACTGTCGGAGTATTCTAGCCCTGAGAAAACCATTTTTGTTCCTTCTGTAATTTGTGATAGTTTTAAAAAAATACGCTGATCTACAGCTGATTGGTAAATATTTATTAGAAGCAATTTACACCGTTTTATTTGTATATATGGGGTATGGCTTATGTGTTCCATTTTTGAAGGTATTGTTTTGAAGCTCTTATATTAAAGACATTCTTAAGGTGTATGGCAGCAGATTCATAGTAAATTTTATTAAATTTTATCCTACTTTCCCCTAAGTGACTCTCCTCTCTTGTTCCACACTTCAGCAGCATAGATTTTAGATTGATTGGGTTTCTGTGGCCATCTATTTCACAAGGAATTGGCTGGATCGTGTACAGCAATCAAATAAAAATAAGTACATAAAAATACTCATTATAAAAATATAAATCATTATTAAAATTAAATATTATTAAAAGTTAAAATATACAACCCCAAAACATGGAGTAAATATATCAACCACATTAATGGAGTCATCCTAGAATGTTAACTGGTTCTCTGGGACCCCCAAGCCTGCTGGCGTAACAGACCTTAAAGATCTTCTAGAATGCTAAGACGGATGGAGCTAACCTGAATTCAGGGATGGGCGAATATTCCAGCAGGGCAGATGACATGGCAGAGAAGATCCCCCTGCTGGAAGACTACTAAATGTAAATCCTTAGTACCGGAGTGGGCAAATATGGCCCCTTTATGACTTCAACTCCCAGAATTCCTCAGCCAGCCATGTGAGTGGGAGTTGAAGTCCACAGGTCATAAAGAGGCCATAGTTGCCCACCTCTGTTCTAGCAGATGGTACCTTCTCTGTTGGGTATAATGGGATGGGCTGATGATATAATTGGGGAACGGTCCCATTCCATGAAGTCCTTTAAAAGTTAAAACCAGTGCCATGAATTGGTTGCAGAAGCAAACTGGCAGCCAATGCATACTGTGCTGTTCTGGGGCCACACATAACGGCCTATGCTGCTGCATTCTGCATAGTTGAAGCTTCTGGATACTCTTAAAGGGTAGCCTCATGTAGAGCACATGACAATCTGATCTGGAGGTGATTAGGGCATAAGTCACTGTTAGCAGAGGCCCCCCCCCCCCCCCCCGGATCTAGGAACAGGCACAATTGGCAGCCAATATGAAGCTGTGTAAAGCAGTACCCTCCAACCTTTTAGGCACCAGGGACCAGTTCCATGAGGAAAAAAATTCCCCCCCATGAACTGGGTGTGTGTGATTTTGCACACTACCTAGATCCAGCAGTTGCGCAGATGAAGCTTCACTTGTGTGGGTGGTCAAACGGGCCACGGACTGGTACCGGTCTGTGGATTTGGGATTTGGGATTCCTGGTGTCCTCAATGTGGACTTGGGATTGGGGACCCCCTCCTAACTGCAACTGCTACCTCTGCAAGGACCACCAAATCGTAGACCAGGTCTGTGCAACCCCATCCAGCATGAAAGATTGAATAGTCCTAGAACCAGTAGGCTCCAAAACACAAGGCCACTCAGTTTTGCAATGGTTCAACTGAAGTCTGTTCTCTATCAGACCCTCCTAGCTTCCATACCAAAGGATAAGACATTCATGGCATCGCTTACTTTGCACGGGGCACTGTTACATAATTGGATGTCATCAGTGTCCTGATAATACCTCACCACCCCCATGGCAACAGACGGTTTCATCCAGCTGCCTCATAGAGATGATACAAAGGAGAACCCAGTGCCACCCCATAAAGTAGGGGCCAAGAACAGGACCTCTCCAACCACCACTGATTGGAATCAACCCCCAAGAAAGGAGGCAAAGCAGCACATCCTCATGTCATCTACTCCCAATTCTCTGAGCCGATCCATGGTCAATGGTATCAAAAACCACCAACAGGTCAAGTAGGGGAAGGATCAACATACTACCACCATCATGCTCACTACAGAGATCTTCCAAAAGTACAACCAATGCTGTTTCTGTCCCACAGCTAGGCCTGAATCCTGGCTGAAAAGATTCCAGATAATCTGCTTCCTCCAAGGTCCTTTGAAGCTGTCATCCAACTACCTTCTCCGTCAGATTGAAACCTCCAAGACCTTAAGACTGGGGAATTCCACTGCCAATGCAGAAATGGAGCTCAGGCGGGGAGGTTGTGTGTGGCAGGGAAGCTGGTACAACAGCAACAATCTCAACTGATCCTTAGAGCCCAACTTAATGAACAAGACCCCACATCCAGCGACCTGGAAGACATAAGAGACATAATCGTTCCATCTGCATAGACTGGAGAGACTGTGTATTCCCAATAATAGAGGCAGAAGTCTGTGCTTTGCAGCTTACTGAGAAGAGATTGCTGGATGATGACCATCACACTGGCACTTCTACCTTAGAATCTTGGATCACACCATACATGAAACCCAACTGGGACTTCTCTGAAAAAGAGCCACCACAACCACCCTCCTGGATCCAGCCAGGTCTTGGCAATGCATGCCAGGTTGGCCACATATCAGTGATTAGATTGCACACAGACTGACCCTGGCATTTAAAAGCAGCCGCAGGAAACCAGGACCCCTGAACTTCTGCTGATCGGGCACAAGGACTGAGCAAGGACCTGGGGAGGGGTTGAGAAGCAACGAGGACCAAAGTCAGGGAACCAAGAAAAGGGCATTTAATTGTTCTACTTTTTGATAATCAAGTTTTGGATTGTGCCACTCGGGTTTTGTCCTGAGTGTGAAGAGGAAGGTGCGTGCTAGTTTCATACAAGTGGAAGGCGTGTGCTAGTTATCTCAAAAGTTGGTCAGTTGTACCGCACCGTTCTGCTGCTTCTAATAATTGGGACTACAAAAACACAAACAAGTGAATTCATGCTTATGGTAAGAGGTGGCAGAATTCTTTCTCTCGTTGTATAGGTCCTCCACTAGATGTCCCTAGTTATCTAGAAGGATTGACTTGGAAGGGCTGGCTGCTATCCCCACCAAAAAAACTGGTAATGGTAGAAATGTGAATGTATTATCTGTATACTATCTGTCATTCTACTCCTTATGCAATTTAAAATTTAAGATGCATTAAAAATTAAAAGGTATAAATCAGAGATTGTAAATAATGGAGTGATAACTTTGGGAGATGTTACTTGCCAAGGTGCATAGAAATGGTTCCAGTGCTATTATTCGAAACCTAATCCCCACTAAGGAGGTTATGTCCATTCAATTAATATCAAGTTGTCCCTAATGTTAACTCTAAACCTTTTAGCTGGTCTTGTTATCTTTGAAAAGGAAGGAAAGAGAGCTCTGTGGCTATTTATGCAAACAGATAGTAAGAATTGGGCCATGTCTGTTTTCTGTATTCTTGTTTTATACTTCTATAGATGCCAGATTTGAGTTTTTAGCAGGGGAACCTAGAAACCTAAATCCTGCCATGCTGGATTGTGTCAGAACAACAAAAACACCACTGTAAAACAGATTCACCCCTCCCTTCACTTGTCTCAATTAACATAAAACAAAAATCAGAGTGTGTTTCTAATTTGGATAATTTCTTTTCCTACTTAAATTTCTAACTGCTGGTGCTTGCTGACGTTTAAACTGTAGTGTTAGGATTTATTTTATATTCTCAATTCACAGTTACAAATCTAATGTTGGCTTTCCAGAACTAATCTCTGTTGCCTCAGGAGATTCCCCCATAGAAAATGTATTATGTAAAATGATTTAGCTTCAAGATGTATCTCTCCTATGCTTTCTATGAAACATAAGGGGATGTCTTATATTAGAGTGCCTTCATTGTAATTAGCATTTTGTGGTGGCAGCGAGTTGAGTTTCTTCTCTGGGTTTTCAGCTAGTAGTTTAAGACGTTTCCTAAATAATGATGGATAGCTAAACTTTTTATGGCTGATGCTAATAGTAACCAGACTGGAGAGACTCCGTGTATGCCCAGTGATAGAGACAGAAGTCTGTGCTTTGTAGCTTACTGACAAGAGGGGTGAATTGTCCAATTACAATATATGCTATTTATTTTTGAATGATCGATGCTGTTTTAGAAAATTGAACACCCTATTGGAGAACCTGCCTGCTTTCCCATGCTAGCTTTTAATGAATTAGTAAGTCAACTGTTTACAGAACACTGCCTCACATCACCTCTGATCCTCTCAACACATTTCCCTGTAGAGCAGGGGTGTCCAACCTTGGCAACTTTAAGACTTGTGGACTTCAACTTCCAGAATTCCTCAGCC